TTATGGATGTGGTGAGAGAGGACATGCAGGTGTTTGGTGTGAAAGAGGAAGGAAGGAGCAGCCGAAAGACGATTCCTCTGTGTCAAAATAATTGCTGCTAAAACAAAGGTTAGGCCTGTCACTTAGCCGCATCACAATTGTACATGTTGTATAAATGATTTCAATCATTTCAGATAACTTCCAAGTTTTCATTTTCAGAATGAAAATATTTGGAAATTTTGGTTTGAATAATTTAATAATTAAGACATTTAAAGGCAAATATGAACATGTTTAATTTTACACTACTGTTTGTGTGCTGGTGCACGTGGGGATGGTTTTGGTGCTCTCTACCCCTAGCCCTCACAAAGGGGTTACTGTAGAGTCATTGTCAATCTTTCATTAATACAAAAAGTAAGTTATGCAAATAAGGACAACTATTCTTCACCATGCAACATCATTGATTAATATGATGCCACAGCAAAAAAAAAAAAAAAAAGGGGGTGCAACCTAATCATCTGCTGGTGCAACCAACTGAGATAGTTGGTAGGACCACTGTTGCTACTGGAAAAGTTAGTCTGGAGCCCTGTACTGTGATGCTTAATATGCACCGATTCACTCCTTAATTAACAGAGTACATAATCGTTTCAAATATTCAAGGCTTTGACCATTTTACTAAAGATGCCCCATTTTGTCTGAATACACAAAAGGACTTACTGTAGCATTGAATATTTCATTGCTTGCAGCAAATACAAAACAGCTGCATGTGTTCAGCTCCTTTGAGCTGCTGAAGGTATTAGAGAAGGCATCGCCTGGAGAGCCTCACCAAGTCCTGCATCTCCTTCTGCATCCGTGCCAGCGCCTTTTTTGTGCCCACGGCAAAGACGAAGGTGTCCATGTCCTCATCATTCAGCACCACTTTGACTTGCTGGGGGGGGAGGTTAGAGGGTGATCAGGGGAGGCAGGAGCAGTGCGAGAGCTCACGGAGCATGGAAGTTAGTGGAGCAAACGTACCACTTGATCACACATAGGCCTCATCATCCTGGCCAGCACATTCAGCAGGTCCTGCCTCTTTAAAAACTGCATTTAAAACAGAGCAAACACACAGAAAGTAATGAGAGAATGCTTCTTACTTACAAGGTGTGCGCTCTCAAACTCATGTGTTGCAGGTAGACTCTCAAAGTAGCAGCAACAGCATACAAATTTCTGAAGCCTGGGGATGGCCTATTAATATTCATAATGGAAGCGTCCAACAGAATGATCTTTGCTCTATGACACTTTTGAGAAACTCAATGGTAGCAATGGTCAAGATAGCCAAATAGCTAGCTAAGTAAAATGTTAGAATTAGAAATGCACAATATATCGGTTAACATGCTGGTATAGGCCAATATCACTAATCAACATTTTTTTTTAACACGAATACAAAATTGCAGTAATTTTTCTGCTCAATTCAAACATCTATTCAGAATTTCCCTATCATGAAAGGATTTCGGCTATATATACACTGACAGTATATGTGCATGTTGACATCTAAAAAGGTAAAAATGATTTTCTGCTGCAATTGGCCTCACAAACATTCGTCTTATGGGTCCAGCAGAATTCAGCAAGCATACTGTGACTTCAGTTGCCTTGCTATTTTTCGACATCAGAAATGTCCTCATCAATAAAACTTAGATAGAAATAGATTTTCTAATCAGTGGAGTGAAACCATGTTTAAGTTTTAAATGTTAACTCCACCACAAATGTAGCAAAAAATCAGGATAATTCACAGAGTTTCTAGGCAGAATGCCTGTAATTGTTTAAAATAATTATAAAGATTCACTAAAGTCAATGAAATGCAGATGTAAGAAACAGAACAAAGCAAATGGATGTTTACACTTCAAGAAGCATTCATAAATTGGCAGGGAGTTTGGTTTCAGAGAGCACAGGATCCTGTCTCAACAGGTCCAAATGTGTTATAGCCGGCAAACTCTGGCATAACAAACTTAAAGCATATATTGTTCACAAACTGAAATAAAATAATTTTTACAAAGTTAAACTTTAATATATTCATATATTTCTTAATAAGATGTCATTTACAGTGGTACCTCAGAACTCAAACTTAATCCTTTCAGAACTCTGGTTCGAATCCTAAAAAGTTCGAGTTCTGATCAAACTTTCCACATAAGAAATAATGGAAAACCAATTAATTGGTTCCCGGTCCCAAAAAATTATACCTAAATGTGTTTTTTTTTAGCATTTAAACTAGGGATGCTCATATCGACCATTTAACCGTTAACCGAAAGAATAAATTTTGACGATTATTACTATCAGTTAAATGGTTTAAAAAAAAAATAAAATATATATATATATATATATATAAATAAATAAATAAATAAAACAAAATCTTGTCCAACATCAACGTTATAAAAGAGGCACGTTTCCGACGGGAAGTGATGTTTTTCGTGACGTTTTCATCTGAGTTCCGACTTGGAGAGAAATAATCGAAAGCACCATAAGGTACCCCCGACATACTGAAAACACTGTGATGATGAAAAATTGTACATGATAGTCTAATACATAAATATTTTCGCTTATATGTTATTTTTGCAGGCTACAATACTGTTTTGATTGACCTGCTACCCGCTCGTGTGTAATGAATTCCCGTAAAATTCCAGAACATTAAAATCCACCTGTTTCAGCAACTATCTGCGGTTACCCGACCCGGTGCAGGACTCTGCCCTGACGTCTGCGCCTTTGTCTCCGTTCCGTCCCCACTCGGCACGACAATATTATTATAACAACCTGGAGCTCAACACGCTCAAAACAGTGGAGATGATCGTGGACTTCAGGAGGAACTCCCCTGCTCTCCCCCCACTCACCATCATGGACAGCACTGTGGCTACAATAGAGTCATTCAGGTTCCTGGGGACCATCATCTCCCAGGACCTGAAGTGGGACACTCACATTGACTCCATTGTGAAAAAGGCCCAACAGAGGTTATTCTTCCTTCGTCAGCTGAGGAAATTCAACCTGCCACAGGAGTTGCTGATATGGTTCTACACCGCAATCATTGAATCCGTCCTCTGCACTTCTATAACTGTCTGGTTCGGCTCAGCTACCAAATCTGACCTTAGAAGATTGCAGAGTGTAGTCAGGACTGCTGAGAGAATCATTGGAACATCCCTTCCCACTCTCCAAGATCTGTACTTATCCAGAGTGAGCAAAAGGGCTAAGAAAATCGCCCTGGACCCCTCACAACCAGCACACTCCCTCTTTAATCTGCTGCCATCTGGTCGATGCTACAGAGCACTTAGCACCAAAACGACCAGGCACAGGAACAGTTTCTTCCCCCAGGCAGTCCATGTCATGAACACTTAATGTCATGAACACTTAACAATACACGTGGTACACACAACACTAAAATAAATTAACACACACGCTTATTTATTTTTCATATTTGCACATATCAACATACCTATACAAACACATCATACCTGGTCATACTGGAATGTCTTGTTGCTATTTTGCACGCTATCTTGTATATCTGTATATAACTCTTTTTATTACCTGTGTCTTGTCTTGTCACTGTCATTCTGTTGCACTGTAGAGTTCTGTCTCTATAACAAATTCCTCGTATGTGTTAACATACCTGGCAATAAAGCTTATTCTGATTCTGATAATTAAATGTATTAATGGTTTATCATCAATATTAAAATAATTAATAATAAATCTATTTTTAAATGTATTTTATTATATAATAATAATTACTGTTACTGATTGTCTAAATGTATTTTTACTGTCTATATATATATGTATTCAGCTAGTGTAAACATGCACGGTGCTCTCATAGCGAATGCGAGGCTGAGACTGAAGCGCTACCCTTTGTTTCCGCTGAGAGACGTACCGCGTGACTCATTTCCCCGCGTGTACAAGTTATCTTAGGTCGGCGTTCACGGTTTGACTTCTGAGATTCAGATCAAGCTCTAGGTAATTTTTTTTCTAACTGGTTGGTTCGACTTTTAAGAAATTCCAGTTCTAATGAGTTTGAGAACTGAGGTACCACTGTACATAAAAATCACCCCTTAGTTGGTCTGAGGCAAAATCTTAGTTGACCAGTGTATTTGTTAAAAATCAAGATGATTTCTCTGGCTCATTTATAGCATACAAACGGTCTCAGAGTCAGCACAATTACGTGATTAAACTTGACTACTTGGCTTTAAAAAGCACTGATTAAAATATGCCTTTCTCAATTACTCAGCAATATGGCAGAAGAAAAATGGAATACTGCAGATGAGGGCCCATATAAAAATATCTTAATTAGAACTTACACAATAATGTGTGGTTAGTCATAAGACAATAAACTATGCTCTTTAGCCTATTAGAGTAGCCTAGCCTATGTAATGAAGGCTAGCACCATTACTTATCCACATTATCTTACAAATTGCAGTGTGTGTAAATAAAAGGGCTGTTCCCATCTGAATTGGATTCAGTTGTTCCATATGATATTCGACTCTTTGGATTGTTTTTTATTGCCCACAGACTAACTGGCAATTAGAAAATCCATTGATATGAGTTTCAGTTCGGGTTTTCAGTATTATCGGTAATATTACACAAAAATATGCTGGTTTTCGGTCAAAATTTCCACATTGGTGCACCACTAGTTAGCCTAGTTGAAAGCAGCCAATCAGACAGCACTTCCTTCATGCCTTTTTTTCTGTACAGTTCATTAGTTGGCCTTTTTGACAAGTAACACTGGCTAGTTCTCCCTGTATAACAATAAAAATCAATATGCTGAGATTATCCTTTTCATGATCCCATTAATAAGTAATTAATTGCCCATTGTTAATATTTGCAGTTTTTTTCGGCATCAAAATAATTGATTAACCAACTCAGGGTAGAAATGCATCAAATCATTAACTAAATAAGTGTAATCAAATCGACTTACCTTGGAGCCAATGATTTACACCCCCAGGGCAAACTAAACACAAATGTAAGATGTCGTCCTGTGGCTGGCAGAGTAATCAAGCCCTTAATCCCAACTGCTACAGGGACCCTGACTGAACCTGTTTTTTGATGCTCACTTGTACATTTTGGATAAAGCGTCTGCTAAATAATGAAAGATGTAATGATCACACACCTAAGAAGCCGGGATATGAGGCGATGGTTAATGTGACAGAGTCCCTTAGGTCGTAGGAGCTGGGGGATAAATATGGAGGTGGCAGTACCTTCATCTGAACAAGCATGCCTTCACAGCAGACACGGCCAGAGCACCACAGATTGTAGATGTGGTCATTCTCCTGGTTCAGCTTCCCCGTACTCACAGCATCCTTGCTAGTGCCCTCATCCCCTGTTGGGACACACAAGCAAAGCACAGGTAATGGAGGTCTGGTTTTGGGCAAGACTTCCAAAGGGTCACTTACATACAAGCGAACACACCTGCAGTACATGTCACAGTTATGGTCTACATACTCTGGAAAAGCGATGAAGTTATCAGGTACCAAGAGGATGGCACAGCAGGTACAAGCCTGTTGATTCCACCCATCCGTCAAATCCTTATCTATGATGAACAACAGCAAGACAAATGCAGCTGACCAAGCGCACAGTACTGGGAAAAACGTTTTAAATAATCATGCTGGTGTAAAGCTAAGACTAGCACTTTGTAGTTTATAAATGCTGTCCTAGCTCAATTTCAATGAAAAGCATCTGGATTTCACTTAAGTTTTTGCTATGTGCTTATTGGTCAATCTCCTATATAGGCCTGACACAATAATGATTTCTGTTGGACAATATATTGTCCCAGAAATAATTGTGGTAACGATACGGATGTAACGAAAAACATAATATCGCGATAAGAAAAATACGTTGTCGGACTTCGATCAACCACAATATCACATGGTTATTTCGCTCAAATAACCTCCATCTCAAAAGCGCAAGAAGATTTTTTTTAATTAACTAAAGGAAGATGGAAGAAACGTTTTAAACCACGATAAATTTGTTTTTTTTTTTCAGTACTACATTGACTCTTCTGAAGATTTGCAACAGATATTCCTGCATGTGCTTCGCCCAACAGGGACCCACCAAACGAAGTTCATATAGCAGGATGGCGAGCTAGACCCATGGAGCAACTGTGAAGGATGAGTAGAGGGAACTTTGAATTTCTTACAACGTGTGCAGTTAGGATATGATGGACTGAATTGAACTGTATATTAACCTTTGGACATTGTTATGCCTGTGTGCTGACAGTTGTAAAACTTTGTTTTAATTGTAATTTGGTTCCATTTTTTATTACCATTGGCAGGCAAAAGTGTTCTACAGTGTTTACGTCCGTGTCTAGTGTGCTGTATTAAACATCTGTGCTCAAGAAATTTGGATCCTCACATTGTGACTAAGAGCGGCATAGCCTGAATGCTATACGATGTGATTTTGTTTTTTCCCCTTATATGTGTTGAATTTTGAGTTTGATATGTGGGGGGTTATTGATTTAATGGAAAGATAAACAGGTGCTAAAGATACTGGATACAAAATTTAAATGACTTAGGTGATAATAAATAGATACAAAATAATTATTTAATAGGATCTGTGCACAGTCAAAAATTAGCAAAACTGAACTAGGATAAAACTAAATTTAGACTTAGGATTAACTAGGAATAACTGATTTAACCACTGGACCCAATTATTCTAAATATCATAAGATTAGTCGACAAACTACAGTTGATTTAGTCGACTAAAATTAAAAGTGCAAAGTATAATGTTTAAAGTTTCCCTTTGATTTCTGAAAGTCATTATGTTCACCAAGATTAAATGAAACCAATGTTAAGGAATGGTATTACGGTCTGGCTATGAAGTACACAAATACAGATTTCACTCTTATTTGAAACACAAACATGTGTTTATTTACCCAGAAACTGAGTACTGTAAAATCAGTAGTGCCATTAGTGCAAAAATAAAATCACTTCAAAAGAAAAAGTACATAGGCTATAATGCCACCAGACCTGCTCTCTCTGAGTATTAAAATGAAAATAAATATTTGTAATATCTTTATTTGCTATTGTTGACTGTTAAATGTTTCACCTGAAATTCTCAACATCTCAAACATACTTCTCAACGGCTATCAGTAGCAAGAAATGCAACCATTCTATTTTAGCATTTTGAACATCAAAATAATTACCCCAAGGCTACAATTCTATTAGGGTATATTAGTGTATAGAGCCAAAAATCAACTCTCCTCTCTTTCAGGTGATTTCAAGTTCATTTAAGTTTGCTTAAGTTGCCGTGTGCCCTCTTTTTTAACAACTGTATGAAGTAATGTTATTTATTATATAATTCAACTAAAAAATATACATTTTCATGGCTGCCAAATCTCAAGAATCTGGCATGATACTCACGCTTTCAGACACACGCTGGAAATCTTACGGAAAATCTATATTGCTCCTTTATAAACCTAAAATTAGATATGTCAAAAGTCTATTTACATGGTTAAATACAGAAGCAGACCATTTACAAGGTAAGAACTGTTACATGTGTGTGCAGACATCACGAATTGAAAATCTCACTCCAGCCAGCTGGCTGAAATTGGCAACCCCGCGTTTTATTTGAAATGTGTTACGTGCCGTAAGTTCGGGTTACGTGCCGTAAGGAATTTGTGCCGTAAGTTTCGGGTACGTGCCGTAAGTGTTACGTGCCGTAAGTTTAGGAGGATGCCTGCAGGTCCT